TCTAGTGCTTCCAGCCTTTAGTGTGGACTCATAAAATTGCGCCAGGACAGGGCTTTTCAAAGGAGAGTGATGTGAACGTGAACTCTACAAATCGCAGAGCCACTTATCACAAATCAGTATTCGCCTTGTGGACTGGCCGATCCAGCAGTCTTTACTTCACTGCTCTCTCGACTCACCCACCGCGCTGTATATTCTCTTAGGTAGAGGTCACCATGTGAATCTGGACTGTGAATTTGGACGCTATGTTGTCTTTACACCACCCAAGTACTTAATCAGTTTGAGCTATCGCCACTTTTCCTGTCTGAACTTGCACGCCGTTCGTGTGTGTGGACCCCAGATGGGGTGTTGGACCCTGTGTGGCGAGGTGCATTTCCCGTTGAATCAGACAAAGCATGAGCAAGGGACAAGCTGCAACGATCGCGCCAACAAGAGCTTGAACACCTGTATCCGCCTGTAAGTACATACGGACGGATGAAGTTCAAGTTCAGACAGGTAAAATTCACATTGAGCTCAATTATGACTATACGGAATATGACATGTTCAAGCGTGACCCTAGGTTTGTTGGTCTTTTTGTCGATAGTCAGCGTGGCCATCCTTGGACAGATCCGATTCTACCGAGTCGCCTGGATGATCCAGAAGCAACAAGGACTCTAGGTCACACACTGGCACACATAGGAGCTTACCTAACCACTCCAGTCAGTATACTCGACTTCTCATTGCTGTATGTGGATGTCGCCTGAAGGGAAACGCTATCGGTTTCTAACTGATTACTTATCATTTGGTCCTGTGGAATCTCCTAGGGTCGAGAGCATCTTTTTCAAATAAATCCTTGAAACCAGGACGTCTTGGCTACCACTTGCTTTCCAAGCGTTTCGATAAAATGACAAGTCACTTGACCCCTTGGCTAATCTCCATCAACAACTGAGCATCATTTTCACTATCGCTACGTGCACGCTCCCCGTCATACTGATGAACTCATTGCCAAAAGAGGGAAGACACACCATCGGTGAAATGCTTATCAGAAGTAATAATCTCTATAGTGATACATCAAAGCCCAATGGAAACGTCTAGAACGTTGCCTCAAAGTGAGATCCCTCATTCATAAACGTGTTAAAGTGATGGCCAGCTGCAGCTTGCGTTAAAATGACAAAGTGGGTAGTTCTGTCTGCTGTCGGACGGGTCGATTCCCAAAGCTAAATCTGCACTATAGTGGACCTGTGTTCGATATCGTAAGGACAACTGCAGCGTACAAGAATTTATTTTTTTGAGACAAAGATCCCAAAGTATGTTAAAAATGGATGCAACTTTCAGCACCGTAAAATCATCCTTTGGGCAACCGTGAGCTCTAAAGGTTTGGCTCAGCCACATGAGCACCCTCGTTAGTACCGGCACTCCTGAACACAACCATTTGGTTAAGTGCTCCAGGTTCGTACCATCCATCTCTATTGTCGGGAGATCGTTTTGTGCACCCGACGCATTAGTCAGACGTGAAACTGTCAGGAAAGTCAGATTTTTGAAGATTATCCCAGAATGCTGGAAACCTACTGAGACCCTCAAACTTCACTAAACATCAATCAGACAGCCTTGGATCAAAGTCTGACAGTGCCCCCTGAATATATGGCGCGAGGCCGTGATGCTTATGCACGCATTGGTTTATTTGCAATAAGGCTATTGTGTTCCTTTCCGGCACTAGACACTGGAACGAGGACAGCAGTCATATTGGCGATGTCCGAATCCATGGAACGGTGACAATAACTGCTGATTATGGAAAGTAAAGATGTCTTTCGTATAAGCGTAGTACACTACTCATAAACAAGAGATTCAGCTGGGTTCCAGGTGAGTTTCTTGGAAAACCGATTTTGTTTGGTAAAGGTGTCTTTCATTCGTCCAGTCCCAGGAAGAGGCTGGACGAGGTGATTATTAAAGCGCAGAACTAAAGAGAATCTGTAGTTGAGTACAAATTAGTAAAGTTTTTGTAAGCGAAACACACACGTGGAAAGGACTATCACTTCTTCCCTAAACTCACTAATTTGGGGATAGATTTACCGCTGAGTGACATTCAAAATTATAGAGCACACTTGAAAATGCGGAAGACCAACGTTGTAATCCGATTCCACAATTTTATCATAGGACCGTCGACATCACTAGTTAGAGATAGCTACCTGATCTGGGTACTGACTTGAGTCTCCAAGCCCATCTTATTCAGAGGTGCACGTATAACCAACCAAACGCTTATTGTCTAGCGGTCGTTATGGACCAGAAAATAGCTGTGGATGCTAGCATTTTCTCAACCTATTTAGTGAAAACTGAATGCAACACAGTTTAGCAACTAGCAAATCAAATAAATCATCTAAATATATTTAACCCCATACGACTTTGCTAGTCCCAGATTGAAAGTTAAAAAAAGTTGCATCCAAACTCCAGGCCGAATGTTCCCAGTGAACACTGTCCATCACATTGTGGGTGTCCAACTTGCCATAAAAAAGTATATATCCTTTCCGGAAGTAGTTGATTCTAATTGAATCGTCGTGTGGTTTGTGAGAATGGAGACTCACTCCGAAGTACTTTGTTAATTTTGTCTAGGTGTCGTCAACTAGATTAGTGCTGGGTTGATAAAAATTTGAAGGAAAGGGATTGAAGACCGTTCATCACACTCGTGAGCAACATGATTTTGAATATAGCCTAGTGAATTGATTGGGGCGCACTCATATCACGTGCATTCGATTTCTTTTTCTAGCATTTTGTCGTCGAACCCATTTAATGGCTACTTCCGTTATGGTTTGCGCTCATGCTGTCCGTTTTCCTGACTTCGTTTGAACACTTTTCACAGTGGGGTTACGTAACAACATATACGAGATCATGAGAATATTCCTAACGGAAGATTGAGATATCAGCGTGTCATGACCGTTAACATCGCCCCAGAGCACTCAAATTTGACGAAACGATAGTAGCCCATTTCAATGCCCGTTAAGATATTAATTTGTGGTATACGTGTTGACCAGTTTCCTCTAACACTCGGGATCTCACAGTCATAAACAATGAATAGTTACTTGGGGAATTTGAAGTACCCGGTGGAACCTAAACTGGTAAACGGGGAGTAATCGGTATCAGAAGTAGTTTTCGGTGAAATTTCGCAGTTCCCAAGTCTTCAGCTACCGAATACGCCTTCTACCCACTCATCTATCACTAACTGACAGCAGCTGAATCATCGGGACATCATCATCGCTGCTCATCATAATCTTAATTAAAAGGAAAAACTCTAGTGTACTGGTTGTAAATACTGGTGCATAACAAACATAAGACCATGAGGAAGAAGTTGAAACAAAAGAACACGATGAAAGCCTGTAGAACAGCTCAATATCCTAATGGAAGGCGATCAAGAACAGCAGTGAGATAAACAAATCTGAGCGCAATTTGGGACGGAAATGTCACAAGCGGAAGTACATTCAACATAGACCCAAAACACAAAGACAGATAAATGTTAGTTAGACAGTCTGCTTGGAAAGTGACAGCATGATCAGCATTGAGGTCCGTTACGTGAGACATCCTATTGGGTGTCAACCACGTGGGCGGCAGTCAAGAAGGCGCGGTACACCACAGCACCTAGTTTGATTGTAATCTGTTTCATTCGGCGCAGTCCTGTCATGGCCCGTCCTTTTTGAATCTTCCAGGAACACCAGTTCGGAACGGAAAACATCGTCTTTTCTGGAAGATGTTTATTGAGCACGCCCAACATATATTGGCTTAATGAGTTTATTTGACGCTGCAATGATGCTGTCCCGTTAACAGGTACTCGCCTACGCTCCATTTCACCGTGTAAATGCTGCGGCCAGCTGACTGCTGCTATTCTAGGCAGGTTTGGAGCCCTCTGAGGTCTTCAACTCGGAGGGGCTAAATTTAGAAACCAGAGACAGTTGGTAAGCATACACGGCCATTCAGCTTCAGTTAATTTCGTCTTTGACACCACAGATAACGTTGCTCGAGTTTTGCTAATGCATGCACTAACTCCTACCGCAGTACAATCGCGCCTTATGCGGCAGCCAAGACATGCAAACCGATCACCGGTCTCACACTGTTCATATTGATGTTTAAAATGGACACTAGAGCACTGAGGCAAGATTTTGGACTTAGAAGACGCAAAAACAGATGAGGAAATGAGAAATTACCTCTGAAATTTAACTCAGAATGGATTGTGTGGGTCTAACGTCATCAAAGTGTGAAGCGACTAACCAGTACTAAATACTGGTGCCCAAATGCCATACAAAGCCTATAGGCCGACGCAGACTGGTAGTTGTAGAATAAAGAAATGGCGGCGTCCGCACAACATTGGTTAGCTAGTATTTCGTCAGGTTCCACTTTGATCCCTAGAATTCAGGTTCCTTGTGGAATCTTTCACTTTTTCGCGTATGTTTTGATGTGCCATTCTGTCTACACAGTTAAGAAGACGGCGAATGTTGGTCGCTGGTTTTCGCTATGCCGTTGGCTGCACTCGACCTAATGTAGAGATGTGGACGTTCGACCCTCTACCTGGTCGGAATCCTTCTGATTCTTTCGAATATGCGTCTCATGTGCCAGGGTTAGATGTAGCGAAATTAAGGAGGCTGGTAACCGCGCCGTGATGAGCGACAGGCTAATACCCGTATGGTCAGAAATTCTCTTCGAGCTAATTTCCGAGTGCAGATACGATGAATGAGTGGCTACAGTTCTCTGAAATACATTCTTGCTTCCAGATGTGTTGATACGTATTAACCAAGACGGAACACACGAACTCCAAAACCTCTGAATAATGTCACGGAAGCCTGTATGGCACAGTAGATCGACGACGTTCAGAACAAAATGCGCATTGGTATTTCATGAGCTGGGGGTCGAATTCGACAGACCATGGTTCAGTTTGGGAAGGTCAAATGAAAGAGGTAGCACAATTTGAGAGGTCCAACTAAATTGTTTTTGGGAAAAATCTGCTGGACTATCTTTATCATTTATCGGACTTCATAAATTACGTTGGATTGATTCCATAGCAGGTGGTCTCCTTGGTCCGGATTAGTTGAGAGTTTCTGTGTGCTCCGGGCTGCACAAGCTTGTCCCATTTTCGAACTTTCTGGTTCAATTCCAACTCTCTGATGCCTATCCGGCCATCTGACAGTCTATCTCCGTGCTCAGAATCGCCACAGGCACAGTGTCCAATATCATGCATAGCTGTAGTTAACTTTTCCTAGTAATGACCAACGTCTTCCGAAGGTTACACTAATAGAAGATTGTATGAGGAGCTTTGTTTGGTTTTTTCTTACTTGTGGACCACAATCCCTTTCTACTCCCAACCGGGTGGTGGGCTCCAGAGCTTTACCTGGAAAATTCAATGAAAAACTATACTGTATGAAAACATGATCGCAAAAGACCGGTGTATTTTGATGCACCAAGACTCGCCTTAGTTGAACTAGGGCATCCTACTTGCCCCTTGAAGTGGTCAGCTTCTACTAGCATAAACGAACTTTTCATTTTGGGCAAGAGAATGAATAGACAATGGTGGAAAGTGTCTTTAATATATCAGTGCTACAACTAGTTGGTGTGCAAGTGATCGTTTTCATTGAAAAACGGTTAATAAGCCAACCAGTGCAAGTTTTTATCGGGATGTACAGTGGGGCAGTAGAGATCTGACTTTTCACGGATATCCATTAGGAGAAGGATGGCTTAGCTCATTAAATGAGGATTATACCAAAACTAGCATAACCGGCAGCTGGAAACTCACTGGAATTCTGGGGTTTGTGGTGCTCCAGCCTTAGCTTAATCCTGTGTTCAAGCCTCCGAAACGCACAAATGTCTATCGATCAAGCCTGTAAAGTAAGCGCAAGAGTAGCCTGCTTACCAGTTCGCTAAGGAAGTCGAACGTTGCGGGCTGTGATAAAAACAGAAGAATGAGACCTGAATAACATATACGAAGTTGTACAAGCCAGCGATTGCAATGAAAAGAGTCAGCTTTCTTGACACCTGTCCAATGTGCCTGCGGATGTGAGCTATGGAAAAATGATTACTACGTGGGATAGGTAGACAGGCAATAGGTAGAAAAATATGTAGGTTTGCTACTTTCCCCCTTCTCGCTGATTCTGAAGGTAAACGTGTTTCTCAGTTGTCCATCATATTTACGTCAGTTATCTGGAGTGACGAACGCAATAAGTTCTTGATCTCGGCCAAAATGTGGCACACGCACGCTAGTTACCCTGAAGGTGACAAGTGGAGTCACTCATGCATTACGATCTAAGTAGATGTACCGGCGCCAATGCAATGCAACTGAGCCAGTGGTTCAGACTGCGAAGACAAAAGCACAGTGCTGCGCTCACGCCGAGGGGTTTTCATCTTTTAGAACTTTTTAATTTCACACCGAGACGATAAACCTGTTACCTGGACAATTGAGAATGGATTCCACGTACGCTGAAACTGCTTTCTGGCATATTTAAACAACCCGAAAACAAATATACACTAATTTAGTTTTTTTGAGAGACTCACCGGAACCCAGCCTGAATCTCTCGTTTGTGATGCTCTCAGGCAATTGAATGTGCTGCACCAGGCCGCTTCAGGTTTCAGTCTCTACGATATTCGAGATATCGCGATACATGTATATCTTTGTAATGTGCTACTCATAAGGCTGCTGAAAATCCGTCGACAGCCCACGACCGGTTTCGCCCTTTTTGGGGCTCATCAGGTAGGCGCAGTCCCCGGGTTTCCGTCAACTTTATTTCGTGCAATTTGGTTTCAAGCAGAACATATTGTTGACGGAAACCCGGGGACTGCGCCTACCTGATGAGTCCCAAAAACTTCGAAACCGGTCGTGGGCTGTCGAAGAGTTATCAGCAACCTTGTGCGTAGTTTCCTTTATGAAAACTGATAACTGTTCGTAGCATACATCTTTTGTAGTCATTTATTCGTGCTACTACAAGTGTTGTTTTCGGGATTAACTGCTCCAGAGATCCTGCAAAGAGGGTGCTTATATACAGGAACATCCCAAATATTTCAAGCGCATTTTCTAATGTGAAAATTTTCTCCGCGCAGTCCCCGAGTTTCCATCAACCTTATGTTCTACAGTTCTCCAGTTTTTATCTTCAGTTTCTCCACGTGAAAATGCCTTATGTAAGACAGACGGACCGCCACAGATCCAATATAAAGTCTTGTGATCGGAACCGCGAGTGTCTGATGCTTTATCTCAACGCATTTTAAACGGATCATTCCGACTAACGAACGTTCATTGGTATGACATTAAAGGTAAACATCAGTATGTAACTTTCGCATATGAAAAGTGAATTCTCCCTCTTCTGCGTTGGATAATGACCTTTTGGCGCCACTTGTGCTATTGTTCTGAGTACCGGACTTACTCTGCGTCAAACTATGCATTTTGATGTACATTGATCAGTGGTGGTCTGTTCATGACCAGAAGGGAACTGATGGCCAGATGGGTTAAAGTATCCTTTGAATATCTTGGACTATGAGCCGTTGACAGTATAAAAACCATAGGTGAAGTGTTATGAGTATTCTTTAGGTAGCTAATTCGACTTCACCAACAAGTCTCGGTTATGGGGTTGGATGCGCATTTTCGTTTCACCTGGCGAAAGCTCTAGTGAACTTTGTTACAAAGTGATTGTTTTCGCCTAACTTCCCGTAGTGTTTTTTACTTATTGATGTTTAACCACATTGGCTGAGTTCGTTCACATTCTGTGGACGCTGTTGTTCAATCGTAGTTGATACAAGCAATAAAGTCAGTAATATTGATCGTTTGATTCCTTGTCTACCGACCAACTAGAATGGAATATTAAGCCAAGAACAAAAGGACCGGAAATTCGGTCATTCTATTCGCATGAGATTAATTTTATTCTAAACGCAGTCAAAGTGATTGCAGAACAGAAAGCGATTGAAAAGTAAAATATAGTTCGAACGAATACAATCTTTGGTTAGAAACAACCCCCGGTCACTTCTTGGATTTGATTAGTTTCACTTGGGTCAGAGTGGAACTGATGTACTACGGATAGAAAGTCAGTTTTTCTAGTAATTTCTTGCTTGTGTTTTCAGTATGTTTCCTCGTTTTGGACTTGCAGTAAATCCTCAACCTAGCTTGTTCATGTAACTCGGATATCCTAAGGGAAAACATGAAGTGAGAGCTAATCACTCAGATGAGCAAACGCTCGAGGTCGAACGGCCAAGGGCTCAGCCACTCGTGAATTCGAAACTCTGAGTTTCGTGAGATGCACACTTGTGACGATCCCCATTAGGGATGAATCTACTGTACAATATTTTTGGCTTTTCAGCTTAGACTGGCCTCACTGATAGGATAAAATCTCAACTGACAACAACACCTGACTGGTGTGATTTACCTGACTATAGTTTCATCCACTGGGAACTAATCATGTTATCTATCTGCCAAGTAGTGGATACTTTTAGCCACCACCTTGATCTTGCCATCACCAATAACAAAAAAATTGTATTCCTGGAAGCTCTCATTTAAGCTGACTACTAGTTTCCAAATGCGCCACACCCACTGTAATTGTAAGTAGCTCGCTGATTTATTCGAAAAGAATAACGTTGGTCCCAAAATCATTAGGATTTGATAAATTTTGAGGGCATAGCCGGATCGTTGGAAATTTTTGCCCTTTGCCCTAAGCAAGTTCTCAACACAAGCCAACCAGTCCCTGTGACTTCACCGCCGAAAAAAGCAAGTGACGCTAAAGACACTGTTAATCAAAGTTTCTATGCCACAAGCCGCTACCATGTGGAAATTTTGCACAGTAACTTTGTGCAGAAATTACCTGTGCATGGCATAGGTGAAGGAACCGCTTGCCTTTATAGACGTACAGCATTTCCTAATGGCATTGTTAATGGTATGCTCCAAACCTAGACATGGTGCACTTGGTGTATGTGGTCTCCACTCTGGAGCAGAACTCGAATTCACTCACCAACAATGTTCTATCAGGAAGGCAATCTCCAAGTTTGATAGGAATGTACATTCAACCGTTGTTAGCTGTCACGGTATTGAGGTAAACGAGTACGCTCGGTCCGTCTTATTGCCCTTTTTAGCTAGAATAATCATTTGCCCAGACATGGAGCAAGCAGTCACGTGACCTGACCGGTTTGGTCAAGATCAAGGTCAGCAACGGCAACAGATTTGCGCTCAAATGCTCCCTTCCGTTTCCCATGACAACAGACCCGTGGACCCACATGACTAAGTCATGTGGTGTCACTGTGTACTTTCTGCCTTAGACGCAGACAACAACGTAGTATGAAACTGGGACTCGGGGGTAAACAAGCTCGATAAGCCAACGAGATGACTTGCAACTGGGATGATTTGAGTAAAGCCTGGGAAGCAGAGACTGAATTTCCCATTCCACTGGTATGATATATTATCTATACAAGGAGCTCCTGACTTCGGAATCATGAAAGTAACAAAGGCATACATCGGACCCAGACGACGGTCGGACTGATAAGGAAGAGAGAATTTATGGATCTGAATGGCGAAGACCAGGTTGGCGAGAGGAATGGACGCAGTATGTATCGGATGCACTGCGACTGTTTATGGATCACTCACTGCATACAGAGTACCACCCTGTAAAGTAGTGGGGCGTATATTGTGTAAAATAGAACTACTGTATGGGAAAGACAAGGATATTCTATGAGACAAGCTCTTCGGTCCTAATAATCCCTGACGGATAGAAGAAACCGTCTAAGCATTTTTTGACAGATAATAAGCGCAGACAACTTGTTTGTTGGTCTAACCTGGTTGTTATGCTTCTATTCTGAAAGCGTAAGTTTACAAAGCATGAATTCGAATGACGACAATGATAACTTATGACTCACACAAAACTTCAAATCATGATGGTTCCCCGCATTCGACGAAACAGCCACTATTTCCACTTATTTATATTTAGTCACATGGGTCTCCTTAGGTCATACGTTATAAGGACTTCCGAATTGCGAGAACAATACATGACAATGTATACTCCGTATTGTCAGATATGCCTTGAAACGGTTCGAAAAATGCAGGGTTCGTTCTCCTTATCAACTAGTGGACCAAATAACCGGAAAGTATCGGTGGATAAACCGAAATGTAGCAAAGTCACCCTTGGAATCATGTGAATGCCTCGAGACTTAGCTGATTTGATTTCAGTGAGTTTAATAACTATGAATATGAAAACAGTTATTTTATTGCTCATGGGA